GAACTGCACTTGGCACACAGAACTTCCACGACAAAGAGAAAATACTGGAAGGGTTTGGTGGGCATTGACCTTGAGTTTGGTGGGTATTGACCTTGAGTTTGGGAGTTGTAGTTCACCTACATCTAGAGAGTATGGTGGACTCAAACAATGATGGGATTTATTTCAGAAGAGCATTCTGAACCCCACCAGTGATCAAATTGGGCCAAACTTCCCACACAAAACACCCATGTTTTCTGATAGTCTTTGACGATCCCTCTGATACCCCCCGCCTTGGAACCCCCACCCCCGGAGTCCCGATTTCCAGGTTGAGAAACATTCACATAAAGCATTTTGCTTGGTTCCATTCTTAGCCAAAAAAAGGTCCTCTGCCCTTGAGAATCCCATGAGAGACACGACACAAAAGGAGGAAGGACTCGGAGGGAAGAGGTGAAAGCAAGGCACCCTTGGTGTGAAGATGAGGTCTAGAATAGCATTACTGTCGGTCTCTAGGTTGACCTCCGGCTGAGGAAAGGGCCTCCTGGGTGTGCGGACGAGAGGCAGGAGAAGCGTGGTTGCTCTAGTTGCCTGTCCTTGGAGGCCTCTTAGATGGATAGATGGACTTCATGCCTTGCTAACTTTGTCTCTCCACAGGACGCGCCGGAGGGACGGGGAACATCAAGACTCTGGGGGACACCTACCAGTTTGCGGTGGACGTCAGCGACTTCTCCCCGGAGGACATCATCATCACCACCTCCAAAAACCAGATTGAGGTCCATGCCGAGAAGGTGAGTCACACACACACCTCTCCCCTTCCCCTGGTGACTGACTTCAGTATCAGTTAGTCTTGTGCTTTTGTACAGAATCATTATCCGTTTCCGTTTGTCTCATTTGTATGGCCCAGTTTTCGTTTCCGAGTGCCGATTCCGAAAACGGCGGCCTTTCCGAATGAGCCGTTTCGGTCAGTCTGTAGGATCTAAGTAGCAATATTAAATAACCACTCACAAGCCGGTTTTGCTTTGAAATGGATATATTGCTTATATCTCTGCAGCAAAGAAAGACACTACTGACTTTTTCCCACCATCACTTCCTTTTATACACCTTTGCTGCCCATCTCCACCTCTTCTCAGTTTCCTTATTAGAACTTGTTGCTTCACAAGTTCCAATACAAGGTTTCCAGCACCCTTTGCTGGATTCAGAACGTCACAGAGAGAACTGATTCAGTCAGGATGTCACAGAGGGAATTTGTGATATCTTTACTGTTAGAAATTGACTCCTGACAATTTTGTTCTTTCGTCCAAATGGAAAAAAAAAATTCGGACCATTGGCCAACATGGGTGGCCTTCCCTTGGTCTGGTTCTCTTCTTTGTATATATAGTTGGCAGTACTATAAATCATCCCTGATAGCTCTGCACCTCCGTTCCACTTTCAATCCGGTTTCTTATTGCCTTTGGAAAAATCCCCTCCCTCACTGCGGATGTAGATAGATAGGATGTGAAGCAAGGAAGGAAGACTTGGTTTTGACCTCTCCCCATAATTTGTTGCCTTGGTGTTTCCTCGGCCCTTCCCAGGCTCCCCTTCGCCTCAGTTTTGGGACTAGAGGGGTGAAAATCTCCCCACATGGAGAGCACATCTACCACTCTTAGTCCACCAAGTTTTCTAATAGCAGGGCTTAAGATCCCACTGATTAGCAAGTGGAGTACATAATCTTGACTTGGCTACCATCGGTTCCTCTGAAAATGCCTTTAGCCACAGATGTAGGCGAAATGTCAAGAGAAAATGCTGCTAGATTGTTCAGATGGTCGTAGGCGACCCCTGTGAAAGGGTTGTTTGAACCCCTAAGGGGATGTGACCCACAGGTTGAGAACCATTGACCTAACTGGAAAGTAAGCCCTAGCACGGTGTTTCTCAACCTTCCTCACGCCGTGACCCCTTAATACAGTTCCTCATGTTGTAACCTCCACTGAGCTCTACTCTCCTCCCTCGTTCAGCTGGCCTCGGATGGGACCATCATGAATACCTTCACCCACAAGTGTCAACTGCCAGAGGACATGGACCCGGCCTCGGTGACCTCCACCTTGGGCCCCGACGGCTCCCTGACGGTCAAGGCCCGCAAGCGCCCGGCCCGACCCCCCGATCAGCAGCAGACGCTCCAGCAGACGTTCCGGACCGAGATCAAGATCTGAGCAACGGGGATGGGTGGGATTGTGTGTTTCCTGGTGCGGGTGCGAGTGGGGTTTCCCTTTGTATATTTCCGGTGTTGCTGCTGTTGCCGTGTTCCTGCCGACCCCAACCGAGGGTTTTCTGGGGTTGAGAGAGTGTGACTGGCCCATGGCTGAACCTTGGTCTAGTTCTCTTCTTTGTATATATCGTAGGCAGTCCTATAAACGATCCCTGATAGCTCTGCGCCTCCGTTCCTCCTTCGATCCGGTTTCTCATTGCCTTTGGAAAGAGCCCCTCCCCGCCTGCGGATGTAGATAGGATAGGAAGACTTGGTTTGGACCTCTCCCCATGATTTGTTGCCTTGGTGTTTCCTTGGCCCTTCTGCCATTTCCATTGGGATTTGGGAAAGGAGCTGGAATACAAGGAAGGAGTGAGTCATGGGATGGAAATAGCCTTGCTCTCCAGCCCAAGGACACAGCAGCCAGGTTGGGGGCCAAGGCCTAGCTGAGCCAGGGCAATGGGGCTCCATTCCGGGACACCACTCCGGGACACTTGGGAAGAGTTCCCACATGAGTTGGAGGAGACCACAAAGGCCATCTAGTCCAGCCCTATGACGCCGTGCAGGAAAGGCACCACCAAAGCACCCCCGACAGATGGCCATCCAGCCCCTCTTTAAACATTTCCAAGGTAGGAGTCAGATAGATGGGATTTGTAGTACCTTCCCTCACTTCCAGAGACCACTGCAACCCCCACGAATGACGGGCCTGGATCAAACTTGCACACAGACCACCCCATGACCTACTTTATGTCCTAGTGTGGTTTGAGGGAGGATCTGGATCATGGATGATGGGATTTGCAGTACCGTCCCTCACTTCCAGAGACCACTGCGACCCCCGCGAATGACGGGCCTGGACCAAACTTGCACACAGACCACCCCATGACCTACTTTACGTCCTAGTGTGTTTTGAGGGAGGATGGAGCATGGATGATGGGATTTGCAGTACCTTCCCTCACTTCCAGAGACCACTGCGACCCCCACGAATGACGGGCCTGGATCAAACTTGCACACAGACCACCTTATGACCTACTTTACGTCCCAGTTCGGTTTGAGGGAGGATCTCGATCGTGGATGATGGGATTTGCAGTACCGTCCCTCATTTCCAGAGACCACAGCAACCCCAACGAATGATGGAGCTGGACCAAACTTGGCACACAGACCACCTTATTGATATCGAGCTGCTTTTAGCAGGGTCTCCTTGAGAGAGAGAAACCCGAGGACCGCGCCTAAAGGGCTCTGGGTCCCTTGGTGAGGCCAGCGAGAGCCAATCCAAAGAGTAAAAATATTATAAATAATAATGCCTCATCCAAGTGGAAGAAGTTTCTTTTCAGCAACCGAGGTTTATTGTGATTCAGCTGAGATCAGATGCATTACAGGAATCATTCCACTGCAAGCATACAGATGCAAAGATTTCAGGCATTTTTATACAGTACAGGACAAAAGAAAGCAGTTTGAAACTCCTGCCGCCCCTTGCCGGCCGGCTTGACGCTGATTGGTTGAGGCTGGAACAGCTGGGAGGAGGCTTGGCGGCCCACCTCAGCTTTCAGCCAATCAGAACGCTCCTGCGCCTCGGGAGGGCCAATGGGCGCCCTCCGCTCGCTTCTGA